TGGTCATATGTTTTTGTAGAAACATGTACAGGGGAAATAACGCATGTCCCGCAGCCTTTTGCCATGAGCACTGTCCATGGCTTTTAATATTGTACCGGTACCTGCTCTAGATGTTCCTCCAGACAGTCACATTGCTCTCACATCTTCAAAATGCGTCAGTCCCTGACTAGCTGAGATATACATACCGTACATTGTACGTAGATCGGGTCTTTGGCTTGAATTCATAGAAGTCAAGCTTCATGTTACACTTACAGGTGAACCTTTGTACACGTATGTACCAATACAGTGTGTGTATTGCACATGTGGATTCCATTTTGAGGTTTCCAGGGGATCTATTAATTAGATTACTATAATAAACAAAGCACTCGATTCTGGTTCAAATCGTCGTTTGTGTTGTAAGTTTGTCTATGTTTCATTTACCTTGGATGTGCGTTCAATGTATATCACCATAATCCTTGTGTAAAGGATATACATGTACATCTATGGAGCTATAAAATTCTACATCTAATTCAAACTTGTTAATTGAGCAGGGACACTATCCTCTCTTGTGGTTGGTTTTCCAGTTTGAAATTGTATGAAAACTTAAAGTGTGCGTCATAGGCATACATGTACATGTAGTCCACATGTTCCACATGAGAATAGCTTGCTCAGATGCTTCGTGCAAGTTGCGCAAAGTATGTACAAACACTTGTGTTGTTTTCAGCCCCCAAATTGAAAACGGGGGAGGGGACTTCAGTTTTGTTACAGGTGTAACTTTGAAGGAACAGTGGTCGTTGGTCTATTGCTCACGGTCGTGTCTTTGTAACAAAAAGTTTACTGAATTGTTGTGCGTTTAAAAGAAGATTTCTAAAATAACATGAAAACGTATACAGTTCATGTACATGTGCACTGTTCATGGATCTTTGATGGCACATCCATATGCCCATGTACATGTACATACACCTGTACATGTATATGCACTGCATGCATGCTCATGTATACCATACATATACCATACATGTACATGTACATATGTACAATGTACCTACATGCTTTTCCGTTGACTTGAACTCGGAAAGTTCATCCCCCCCCAGTTCAAATTCCCAGAGTTCAAATTCCAGGTGTATTTAGTAAGCCATTTTAATCTGTCACAGAGGTCAGTGCTGGTCTTTTTTTCTCTTGTGTAATCCTGGGAGGGTTGCTGCACGTAGGCCGGTCCACGGAGGATTCAATCATTGTTGCTGTGTGACTGCACTATTTGCTGGACTTGCTCAGTTGTTCTTGCTTATGGAGTCCAGTTTGACAGGTAACATGGAACCCTTTGGAAGGCCTAGTCATCTGTGTCCTTGTTCCATGGTCATCGGTGGTCATTTTGGACTCAATATGTAAAGCGTTTACTGCTTCAACCTGGAGCAGATAATTATGGATCTCCATGAGCACAAATGAAGGCAGGATGGACATGTATCAAACTGTTTCCTTGCTGGAAAGAAAACTGCATTTGCTTTCTGCAACTTCAAGTACATGTATGGTGGATGTACATGTACGTGTACATGTTCAGTAATACATGTACATGTTCAGTAATACATGTACATGTACTTGTACATGTACATGTTCAGTAATACGTGTACATGTACTTGTACATTGTATACATGTTCAAGTGTACATGTACACTGTACATGGTCATGTACATGTACAATATGTTCAGTGAACATGTAGCATGCCTCTATGTGCACATGTGGGCTACAGTACATCACTGTAGCTTTTCATGTGTTCATACATTTACAGAAGCTTTGCAACAATGGTCATAGACCAATAATGATGTCACGCACGCTGGCGCTCAGCAGTGTGTTGGGTAATGTAGGGATTGCTAACTGCTACATTTGGGAACTCCTTTGGCGTCCTTAATTTCCCTTTGAAAAGCAAGTGAAGAACATCAAGATAGAGATATGAGATAATGATATTTTGAGCACCCTTGGATATGCATATTGCCTCAGGTGCTAGTATTTTGTATTACATATTGTTATTTAAATCACTTCTGGTAATGTCACCGAGGATTCCTCAAAAGCGCCCTAGGCACTGTAGCTCGCAAGCCTGAAGAATCCTGTAGAGAGAAGACAGTGAGAAGCAGTTACAGTTTTAGCGACGGGAGGAAAACCCCAGAGGGAATATCCTAGGTCAAACCCGCAGGGACTGAAAACCCAATCCACATGTGACCCAAGCCAAGATTCAAACCTTGGCCGCAGAGGTGGAAGACAAGGTCAGAACCACTATGCCGACCCGACTCTTTCAATGCTTTGGATCCCTGGGCTTTTTAAAACATCCCACATCACATTAGTCATTCAAGTAGCAGAGTCATACTTTACCTGTACATGTATTTGTAGACTGAAAATTACAACATGTCACTAAGATTTTAACAGATTTTGTATAGAGTGTTAGAAAGTGATTGCGCATATTTCATTATTTGTTAATATAAATTTCAGATGAATTTTCTGACTCTGCAAAAAAGTGTCAGTTAAGTATCATGTGGCCTGCAAAGATCACAATTTTGTAATGTTTTATGTTTACAGAAAAAGTTACATTTTGGTAATCACAGTAATTGACGTCTTCCATGATTCACACAGCTCAAGGCTCCTTATTTATGATTTGTCCAGCAAATAAGAAGGTTAAACATGGAAATATTTTTCTGAAGTGACCGTATGTGAACACAGTGTATGGACATGCCGTGCGTACACATAATGTACAGTATGTGTACCCTTTACCAAATGTTCTGCTAGAGAGTTAAAGTACATGAACATGTGCGGTGTATGTGAGTCCCATGTATTCCATTGTATAGTATCTGGTGCTAAGCGCTGGGTGCATTCATGCATGTTGGTCAAAAATGCTTCAGCTTCGTAAGGACATGCACCTCTGGTACATGTACTTCAAAGGTTGTTACTGTATACAGTGGTACATGTATATGCTTTATTGCATCAAAGGAGTTCACAATGTATACTTGTATGTACCGATATGTTGAATGTGGACAAAGGCTTCAAAGTACATGTATGCAGTGACTAAATGAGATTGAGGGAAATACCGGCAGTAAAATATCCAAACTGTTTCAGAGAAGAACATATAAATTTCCTTGAGACACGGGGAAAGGAACTATTTTAATTTTTTGTCCCATTCATGTGTTCTTCAGTCTGTGGAAATATCATAGTCAAGCTGTACATTGTGTACTCGCAATGTTGCAGTACATGTATGGTGGTTTAGCATGGGAAATGCAAAATTGTCTCCAGTATTAGCCCAGGTACATTTTCCTTCTTTTTTTCTGACGAAAAGGGAATTTCACACCCTCCCAATAGTCCTTCAACCCACTCTAGGTATTGCCTTGTCTATCTCCCACTGTTCTCTCCAAAAAAAAAAGATATTTTAAGGAGAAGGGAATTGAGTGAATTGTACAAAGTCCCTGAGATTTGCAAGTTGTTTCAATTTTGACAATTTTTCCCATTCTTTCCTCCTCCAACATTCCGAGTCTGTTAAAAAAGGTTAAACTGGTAAGATATATACATACATAAATGTATACGTGTATTTAATTTTGATGTATGGATGAGCATGTTTGTAATGGCACTGCAGAATATGTGCAAGTTAAAGTATTACATGTAGGTACTAACTATTGAAACTGCACAGTTAATTGCATTTTGGTGTTTAATTGTTAATTGGGAATCCTCGTTTTCTGATGAAAAGGACCTGCTTTGTCTTGCCATGTAGGTAGAATGGCGACTCCGGAGATGACGGAAGCGGCCAGCAAGGTTGTAGCTGAGCCTATGTTTGGTGTGCTGGACATCCTTCTGATGAGTGTCAGTCTAGGCATTGGAGTCTACTGGTTCTTCTTCCGAGGGAAGAAACCTGCTGAGCAACCTACTGTGGTCAAGAAGCTGTCAGTTGCGTAAGTTGATCAGCCCATTTCATCTCTGTATCCTAGAGGCCAGTGACACATACTGCAGTCGGATAGCTTGACAGAGTTAAAGACAGGAAGTTGATCCTTTGTATTGATCAGGTACAGTTAAGTATCACTGAATGCAAGCCAAATGCTTCAAGTATTTGCAACAGTTGGACAGCAGTGAGCACATTTCTTTTAACTAGTGTACATGTACATGTATGCCATAGCAAACTGTTTTGCAGGACTCATTTTGTGTTGCCAAGGGAAAAAATTCTCAAGTTAATGCGTGGGCATGTTGCTCACTGTGACAGAGTTAAGTAGTTGAAGTGTAGATGAAAAAAGAACTGGTTTTTCTTCTGCATTTACAGGCCAACATTAACAAGAAGCAGTAATATGGGGTTCATTGCTAAAATGAAGTCATCGGTGAGTTCCCTTAGTTTCCTTACTCCCTCCGCATCCATTTATTACCTCCCACCTGAAAATATATCTAACGGAAGTACAGAGGGTGTAAGTGTAATGTACCCATCACTAGATTTGTTCCTGTGGCTTTATGGTATTACGGTACAGTAGGCGGCCCATCTGTACGTGTACATGTATATTTGTACTTTGTGTTTAATTTTGTTCTGTATGCTTTCCTGAATAGAACCTCATCTCTCAAATTAGCTACACTGCGCCCTTTTGTGGGTATTTTTGGTTCTGTGACCTGAGCTTTTTGTGATTAAGTTGTTCAACTTTGTTCACTCGGACACGTGCTTCTAAAGCTGCACACACATCACACATTAAAACCCCTAACCTGATTTAAATGGCAATAGATGGGATATTTTCACATCCCGTCATAACAGAATATGATGCGTTTATATATTTTCAGCATATGCATTGTGCCTACGAAAAATACAGTCTACGAAAGATTTGTTTCAATCATGCCATGACTTGTTGCTGTTCATGCTGGGAGGGACTACATGTATATGAACATTTCTCTTTTATGATAATTTTCAACAATAGCAGAAGAACAGAAAGAAATCCACTGAAATGTTGACATATGCATGTTTTGTAACTTTGTTTTCTACTAGACATTGAACAGCAGACTTTGCTCCTAGTTCTAAAATATTTTGATGCAGCATTTGTAGTCTAAAATGGCAAAAATAAACTCCTACTTTTGAGAAAAAGGAAGACGTGAAGACAATTTCTTGTATATTAGTGTGTGATGTGTATCACTGGTTATAGTTTGCGTTCTGGTGCCTCTTGAAACATTTTCATCCCTGTTTGGATTTCTTTACAGCAAGAGTCTTTCCCAAAAGACAAATTGCTCGTGCTTCCATTTGGCCTGATGCTTCTGAATAAGCCCCCCCCCAAAAAAAACCAAACACTTAACCCCACTTTATATTTTAACATTTCCCACCCCTTCACAAGGCACCTGCGCACCCCTTGGATTGGATCAAGCCATGCTCACTTTGAAAATAGTTTAAATCATTTCAAATGGCCGCATAGAAGTTAATCTTTTTGACCACTTTCTTATTAATTTTTCCCCCCACTTGCAGGGTAAAAACGTGGTGGTATTTTATGGATCTCAGACGGGCACTGCGGAGGAGTTTGCGACGCGGTTAGCCAAGGATTCCCAGCGGTTTGGATTGAAGGGAATGATAGCAGACCCAGAGGAATGTGAAATGGTGAGGTTTATCGGTTCAGTCTTGACCGTCTTCCAATTTGTTTCATTTGGTGTGTTATCTAATGAATGTGGTACCTTACAGCTGAACATAGACTGTTATTTATCTTGCAAGAATTTATTCCTTGGTAGTTTGGAAACTTAAGGCCAAGATCTGACTGTTTTGAAGGGAGATGGATCTCTTCTCTCTCCGAGTGACATAAGGCAATTTCAATGAGTTCATCATTTATGTCTGTTCATACATATATAATTTATTGGTTCACATCGTACCAGTACATGTGCACAGTCTGTGAATTTGTAATTTACGAAGTATTAACATTTCTAATGCTTATTTGATTTCCTGATTCCATCCCACTCAATGTATTTTCATGTTACTTTCTCCAATTCCTGTTTTTATTGTGACAAGCAGGTTGTTTCATAAAAATCTGTGCACCGTTATAAGTGGAGGCGGATGCCAAGTTAATGGCTCATGATTGTAATTTTTTCGGTTTTGAGTTTGCCGATGCTAAAAAATGACAGTCGTATACTGGTATAAATCAGACTAGGATTCTTCAGTGAGTGTACGGGTTGATCTCTTCTAATTTGCACAGGATGAGAAAGGCTCAATGTCCCTCCATTCACTTCTAGTAACGTTACCAACAGGCTGGTGTGCATATTGTCTTAATAACTCTTTCTTAATTTAGCTTTGGTTGATCCGTTGACCCCCAAATCCCCAACGACAACCCTTAGGGCTCTGATAATCCAGCAGGTTTTGGACAAAGTGCAGTGAGCTACATGTACATACGTTTACTGCAGCTTATCAGTCATTCTGTCAATGGGTCTGGTCATGGTTGAGGGGCATCGAGGGTTACATGTCCATGTTGATGCACATGCACACATACATACATGTACATGTACATGTACCGGTACGTGTACGGTAGCTGTGGTTGGTTTCACTAAAAACATCAGTACTGTATACATGTACGCTGTTCCTGCCTGAAAAACTTGGCCTGTTTTTATTAGCACTCTGGGATTTACAGAGTGCTAAGAAAAGGCTATAAAGGCCATATTGATGTAAAAATGGTTGTTGGGCCTTCACCAATCCTACCAGTAACATTGATTACGATGGCGTCGCACTTCTTGTTGGGCAGTCACATTGAACATGTAATTCAAAAATGGTCTTCAGAAACAAAAGCATGTGTGACTGCAAACATCTCTGATCGCTTACAGTTTGTTTGTCCATCTTGAAACTCACTGTCTACAGGAGGACCTGTCTCAGTTATCAGAAATCGAGAACTCCTTGGCTATCTTCTGTATGGCCACGTATGGCGAGGGTGACCCAACAGATAATGCACAAGAGTTCTATGACTGGCTACAAGAAGGATCTGTTGGGCTCGCTGGCCTCAGATATGCTGTGAGTTGACCACATTATGACATTATCGATTTCTTATTAATTTCTTGTGACAGTTTTTTAATCAGAGCCAAATTACATATGCATGTTATATAGAATATACATGCTCACTGAAGCTGGGTGGAAAGCATACATGTACGTGTTTTTTGGTATTGTAATGAAATTACCCCAACACTGGATTATTGCAAATCTTGAATTTTCTGAAAAGATTCAAGCTTAGTGTGGAAGTGTTTCAGAAATTCTGGAAAGAAAGTAGAACGTTTCCTAGTTACTTTTTCAAATCTGATTTTTCAGTTCATAAAAGTACTCAATGGACTGAAGTAATCCTTGTTCTCTTTGCTCAGAGTTTCAGCATCTGGAGTGTTTATCACTACATGTTGTGGTTTTGATTTTGTGCATTCCCACAGGTCTTTGGTTTAGGGAACAAGACTTATGAACACTACAATGCCATGGGCATCTACGTGGACAAACGTTTGGATGAACTAGGGGCAGAGAGAATCTATGATCTGGGCTTGGGAGATGATGACGGAAAGTGAGTAGTCAAACTGCCGTCCTTGTGGTTGACACATTCTTGTCTGTTCCTGGTAGGAAAATCTGGTTTGTTGTCAAATTTACCATGTACCAGCAACTTCAACCCCCTCCCCCCGCATGTCTGTCTACGCACACTGCTTGTTGAAATCCACTGTTGATTATGCCAAATTTAAATTCCTGTTCGTTGAAATCCGTTCTGAGTAGTCACTTCAATATGTTAAGCTTGAACTTTTACAGATCTTGATGACAAATACATTTACATGTACAGAAACCTGTTTGTGTAGTTTGTAAAAGACGTTCAATTCAAAACATTGTTTTAATCCTCAAAAAGGCAAAACAAATGAAGCAAATATCATTTGTTTAAAAGTGTTCTAGCCACCGGTATGAACCAGAAATTCCTTCTGTTAGTTTTACATGGAGGGCATCTTAGACGGCGCCCCAGTGAAAGATATTCGAACAGGATTTTCAACACGTGATCAGTTTCACTGTGTAGGATCGATTTACATGTAGCTCTTCTAATTACTTCTTCGCAAAACGAACTAAGGTTTCTTTGGGCTGTGTGATTATTTTGGAGCCCAGGTTAACCACTTACTGACGGGTGGTTTGAAAAATGCAGTGCACACAAACGGGACATTTCCAAGATTTTCAGTTTTCAAAATTCTCCAAAAATTCATCATTTCAATTAATGGACGTTTACACCCACACAAATAACTGTCTGGTGACAACTCTAATCTGACAGAAAATCTATTGACGCCCGAGTATTTCAGCCAGGCCTGCAGCCTTGTACAAAGAGCCCAGATGGTGCGGTGTTATGTGACTTTTATTTACGAACCTGGCACAGTGCGCTGCTGACCTCTTTTCAATAGCGGCCAGATTAGCGTGCAGCGGTACTGTGTGGCTCATCGCTGCCGTGGTGGAACGCTTTTGTCCCCGGTGGTAATCCGCTTGCAATAAATCCCCCAAACTGTAGTATGCTGTTTCAAAACAAGGCTGGCCTATCTCCACTTTAGACCTTTTTCCCAGTAATGTCACGATGGTGCTGGACCTACATGTGTGATGTGTTGTGATGGTAATGAATGCACAGTGTTGTGATGGCAATCTACATGTACCTGTTCAAGATAAACTTGTCAAGCATGTAGTGTTCGCCCGTGTGCTTGCACGTGGTTGAAGCTGCCCGTAGGAATATATGCGATCACCGTGGCCAAGGTGGTCCACACGTGGGTGAAAAAGGTCTATTGAGAGTGAAAAATTGTTGGTAATGCCCAGCAGCCTAGTCTTTTGTTCCGAGTATGGTCTTTTGTTACAGGGCCCAGTTCGTTTTGTCTGATTTCGGACTCCCTGGCCACACGTATAATGTATACCGGTACGTGTCCGGTACCGGAAACCCCAGCGGCAAGTGCTTAACAATCTGTTGCAAATTGTTCTTGTTCTTACCACTTAGGTTAAAATTCCTGGAAATGATTGAAAAACACAATACACTTTCAATGAATGACCGATAAAACAGACTCAGAATGGTTTTGTCAACAGGAAAGGTCTTCAATTTACATAAAAAAATTACAAGCGCTGTTGGCATTTCATAACAATTGCGCATCTGTTTCATCCTATCTTAGCTTGTCATCAAATGTGGTTCCAAGGTATTTGGAATTTACAGTGGGATACAATTTCAACTTCCTGGTCATGAATGACAGTTTTCGAGTCGCCTTCACTTTTTCCCTAAAATTGGCAATGAGTTCCTTGGTTTCGAGTACATTCAGTCTCAGATATGAATCATCACACCAGTCAACAAATTCTTGAAGAGCATTTTCTTGACTGTTATCTGACCCAGAAAGGAGGGAAGTCAAAGCATTATCATCAGCAAATTTGACCAACAATCTATCGTCATGGCTACTTCTACAGTTGTCAGTGTGTATATATATATATCTATAGGTCTTTGACTTTCATTATCTTTCTTTAGAGTGACATGTATGTTCATACAAAACAGACCTTGCAGTTCGTGCAACTGTACATGTAAGCCAGCCGTTGGATGTTCAGTTACCAGATTTTCTTTGGAACAGGGTTTAGCATATAGATAATGTTCAGGACCCTAGAATGACAATCCCAAAAGTTACTGGTACCTGCAATGAGCTCTTGCTATCTGGTTGATAGAGGATTTTTTTCCGTTCTCTGATGTGCTTGGTTTTAGAAATGAATGTCAAAGCCCAATCTAGAGTTGTCCTGCGTTACGTTCAGGTTTTTCCAAAAGTACAGCTTACACATGTAGTCTTAATGCAGGGGTAGTGTTGTTTAGCTTCTCTCAGATAAAGAGCACGTGATGTACAATCTGAATGTTATCAGTAACATGAACAGTTGGAGTTGCCTGAGGACGAATGTGCCAAGGGCAAAGCAAATAGCAGGGATCTCAACTCTTCCACCTGAGCATTGTGCAAACCGAGGGCAAAGGTTGTTTTCAAAACAGGAATGGAGCATGGTGAACCTGGAGTGAAAAGGTCTGTGAACTTGGGTCGATAACAAACATTGTACTGCATGCATTGGCAAACCTTAGACTGAGATCCCAAAGAGTCTCAGAAAAATCTGGAAAACCAGTGCAAACAATTTAATCTGTGTACACTCACTTGACTGTCTTGATGTGTGGAGACATTTTCATTAAACCTGTTGATAAACATATAGTTGGGTGACAGTCCTGTCTGCTTCAAAATACCACAGATGGGAATCAACATGTTAAGTCATTTTGAAGTCCTTTAAAAGTTTCACCTATGCAAGTGAGTGACTTACTGAAGGGAGTTGTAACCCCCCAAATTTGTTAAGCAAATAAAAAGAAATTATGCTTAGCAGATCTCACCCAGTGTGCAGTGTTTGTGATAACCGGTAGCCCTTAGATAATGTTTTGCTAAGCAATAATTTTGGTAAGAGCAGCTTTGTAAGATTATTGCAGCACTAGGCCCTATGTGGAAAACATAGAAATATCTGATGAACATGACATTTGAACTTGTCATAACTCTCTAAAACGGCATGCATTTGTTTTAAGTAGTGACGTACATACATGTGAAGTTGTACTTGTCCACCTTTATAATAACAAGACAATATTTCATGTCTCGGTGGTTTTAGACACAGAGGGACAGGGAAAAGGCCAGTGTCAATTTTTGCAAGATGAAATTGTAAGTTTGTCTGAAGATGAAAATACAAGTTCGTTTGATGTGAAAAAAATGATTGTTTACTTTTGCTTGCAGTATGGAAGAAGATTTTGTGACATGGAGAGAGCAGTTTTGGCCAGCTGTTTGTCAGCGATTTGGTGTTCAAGCTACTGGAGATGAAACAAGGTATGCATGTAGCTCCTGTGAACCATTCTTTGCTGAGCTTATAAACTTGAAACCTTAAAGACTCTCTCATAAGCTAAAACACCAACGTTGGCACACATTTTGGCTTAATCAATACACAAGTAAAACATTCCCCCAGATGTATGGCAATTTGGGGGTTTGTTTTCCTGTCAATATTTTTAATTTTTGGAATTAATCTAAAACCTTTCAAATCCAGTGGACTTTATTGGAGGATTTTACACAGTACAGGATCAAGGAAGATAGAGCCAGGCTATTCTATTTGGGATTAAATTTGGTTTGATCAACCTTGATAATTAACTGGTACATTGCTAAATGTGTCATTCTATCCTAAGATTGCGTAATCATAATTTATGGCATCCTCTGGGTGAGGGTCACATAACACGGAAAGTGGCATTAGTTCTTTTAACAGAGGCTGTTTAGAAGCTTTCAAGAGGTCCTACTGAAAAACATGAAAGGATTTCAACAGAGTTCATAAGGCTGAGTGAAAAGGAGGAAGTGTTGCATTGTGTTATGTTCTTGTGTAGTTTTTCTTTTCAAATTCATATGAATACTGCTGACCTGTGCTGTTTAGTTTGAGATATGTGACATTTGAAACTTATACAGATTTTTCAATAACCCATTTGTTTTATTTCATTTATAAAGTATCCGTACATACGCTCTCAAAATTGAGGATTTCTTACCAGAGAAGGTATTCACCGGTGAAGTTGCCAGGCTGGGATCCTTCAAAACACAGAAACGGTGAGATGGTCCTTCCTGCTACTTTGTCTGGACTCAAGTTCTCTGGGTGAAAGTGTCCCAGTGGTGTGTTATTTTAGGTGGCACGTAACAGAAATATGCTTGTGCCACTGGATTTATGTCTATATTAGAATTATTTCCACATGATAAGTGTTGTTCTTTGTAGAAAAGTTGATAAAGCTAGCGGTACAAAAAAGGAGAAATTAATGAATGTACCTGGTCCAAAGATGTTTTGGTTAATACTTATATGTAACTCCATGGGTTGTTTTCTCACACAATAGAATTTGGAAAAAAGACCAATGTGAAATATTCTTCAAGAGTTGTTCAGTGCTTTGATAAATTGTCAATTGGTCACATGACTAGAATAGACCAATGATGACCGGTGATGTCAGAATTCCGTCCCTTCTTGTGTGCATTCTGGAGTACATTAAAAAATACGTACGTAACTTGGGAAAAATATATTGGAGATGGCATACAATTGTTTTTTTTTTTCAGTTGAGATCTGTTGCTATCTAAAAGAAGATCTATTAGGAGCAGAAACTACGGATTTTGAGCTTTGATGTCAAAATAATTGTCCTGTGCAAGATGTATTGTGCACAAGGTTGTCCTATCAGTCAAAGTCTATGATATATCGATGTACTATAGACAGAGAAGAGGAAAGAGGTTTGGACTGACACAGACTTTCATCATAGCAGGAGGGTGTTTAAAGATTAGAAAGCATGTCCCAGTTGGTTGTTTTGGTGAATCATTCTAACTTGATGATTGTTTTTGATTTCCAGGCCGTTTGATTCCAAGAACCCCTTCCTTGCACCAGTCAGAGTCAACCGCGAGTTGCATAAGGGAGGAGAGAGGTCTTGTATGCACATCGAGTTTGACATCACTGATTCTAAGATCAGGTGAGAAAGGATGGAGCTGGAATCTTTTGTATGATTTGATTGAGTCTGTCATTGATGCCGTAGTGATCAGTCATTTGTCGTTGATTTCATTTTTAATTGTATCCACTAGTAATTAATTATGTAAATGTATTAACCACTACCTGCCGGGCGACCCGTTTTTGAGTACATAGGCTTTATATGCCGAGCTGGGGAGCCCGGAACTGGGACAAAAGAGTTGGGCCCTATTGAAAAGAGGTCAGAAGTGCACTGGGCCGGTTTTGGGAGCATAAGAATCTTACGTAACACCGTACAATCTGGGCTCTTTTTCCAAGGCTGCAGGCCCGGCTGAAATATTCAGGAGTCAATGAATTTTAAATGTCAGCTTTAGAGTAGTGCCCAAAGAGTCCTTCATTTTGGTATAAATGGCCATTAAATGAAATGATGAATTTTTGAAGAATTTTGAAAATGGAAAATCTTGAAAATGACTTGTCTTGCAAGAAAAATCCACCCGGCAGCAAGTGGTTAAATCGATATCATTGATTTTAAAATTCCAAGATGAGAATTGATTAAATAAATCAGTAGGAAGAAGAAAAATTCCAGGAATACCCCCCCAAAATTCCTCTTTTTAAGGGGCCGTTTTAAAATTCTGTTGTTGTCGACATAAAAAAATGAGCTTCCCAGATAATTGTCACATTTTGATTTCTGCCCGATAATAAACATCAGATCTGAATGCAATGCCCTTTTCTCATTTCCAGATATGAAGCAGGTGACCATGTGGCGGTATTCCCAATTAATGACCCGGTGTTGGTTGACAGGATAGCCCAGCTCCTCGGAGCTGACATGGACGTTGTCATTAGCCTGGATAATATGGACGGTAAATGTATTCAACATTTCCTGCGTTCCTGGTTTGATATTGCCACCGATCTCCAAGTCTGGGTAGTGTACTAGCTGTTCTGGGCTTTACAGATGAGTGAAGCCACGCATCGGCTCCTGATCTTTTCATTGAAATATGTGGAGGGAACCAGTCACAACCTCTCCTATCATTGAGAACACAATCGTGTTCATGGAGTGGCAGTATGGACTTACTTCTAACTGCCAATCATCTATCCAGAATATGTTAAATGGAGATT